ATGCTGGGGTTGGGGGTAGAAATATGGTGGTTGTCAGCTGAGAAGAAAAACTGAGGTGTCAGGGGTGGATGCCCCAGGGGAGGTGGGGAGAGAAGCAAAAAGGGGTCAGTGCCCAGCCCTGGAGGCAATGGCATTTGGGAGGAAGCGGAGGAGGAAGTTCCCCAGGAACTGCTGTTTTATCCAGAGCGCTGGGGAAAGTGGAGAGACCCCAGGGGTTCCATGGAGTGGAAGCCAGAACATACCCAGAATAAAGTCCTTTGAAGTCTCACATTTTATACTCTAAATTCTTGCCAATTTTGTATTCACCTCCATCGGTGTATCCATGCGAGTTCTCATATAAAAAGATTTTCAAGTACTTACCAGGGAGTGACATTCTGTCACTCCCTTCTGCCTCCCCCGCCCTCCACAGTGAAAGATTTCAAGTGGAAATGCAGCTCTGGGTTTATCCCATGGCTTTGGGGTCTCCTGGCCCATCTCCTGGTGCATTGATGGTAGTTTCTGATACCCAAGAGTTCAAGGTTCTTCATAAGCCTGTCCACACTGGCTTCTCCTCCTCGCCCTCCCCCTCAGGACCCTTCCAGCCCTCTCCACAGGCAGCCCCACTGACCTTGTTCTTGGCCATGTGCCTCTATCCATCCTCCCCAAGGCAACCAGATGGATCTTTCCAAAGTGCGAACCTGACCCTGTCCCTCCACTATTTATTCCCCTCCGTGACTCCGCAGTGCCCCAGGATGGAGTTGGGGTTTCTCAGCCTGGCAGCTCCTCACCCAGTACCTGAGCTCACCCTTCCCCACACCCTTTCTCCCACCCTGTGATCCAGCCACTCCAAACCCCAGTCAGTTCTTCGAGTGCACAATCCTCTCTCTTCCTTTCTTGGCTTTTGTACACGATGCTCTCTCTCCTTGGAAGACCCTCTCTGCCCCTGGCTCTTTTTAAATCCCTCAAGGGTTCTCTCCTTCAGGCAGAACTGGCTATCTAATTTTCAAGGCCCAAAGCTGGGCTGGGTGGCTCAGCCTGTAATCCCATGCCTTTGGGAGGCTGAGGTGAGTGGATTGCCTGAGCCTGCGGTTCGAGACCCGCCTGGGCAACTTGGCGAGACCTCACCTCTACAATAAATCAAAAAAATCAGCCGGGCGTGGTAGCCCACGCCTGTAGTTCCAGCTCCTTGGAAGGCTGAGGCGGAAGGATCGCCGGAGCCCAGCAGGTCGAGGCTGCGGTGGCTGGGGGTGGCCACTGCACTCCAGTCTGGGTGACAGAGTGAGACTCCAACTCAAAAAAAAAAAAAAAAAAATTTTCAGGGCCCAGTGCAAAATGAAAATATAGGACCTCTTGTTCAAAAAAATCATTAAGAATTTCAAGATGGTGACACTGGCAGCTGAGTCCCCCACCTTGTTATTGACCACCTGGAGTTCTAGGTCGGGGTGCTGCACAACTTCATGGGTCATCCTGCTGTAAAGCAGGCCCTGCTTCCAGGAAATCTTGGACTCTCCCTGCCTCCCACCCCAGGCTCAGTTAAGAGGCCCTTCTGGGCTCCCGAAGTCCCCTGGGCTTCTGCAAAAGCAAGCCCTCATCATTCTTGCCGGTGCTTTTCCTATCCCAGCCCTGACCACTTTGGAATGTCGTTGTTTGGTCAATATCTATTTCCTCCACAGAACTAGAACTCTGTGAGGGCAGGAGCTGGGCTGTGTTGGTCACCACAGTGTTCCCAGCATCACTCCAAACAGGTCAGGGCAAAACCAAACGTTGCTACCTAGCCTTGCTTTTTTGAATTCTAAGAGGACACAGCTATCTGGGAGGAACCAGAGGCAGAAGGCAGACCCAGGTTCAACCCAGAACAGAAATATCCCTTTTGGAAGCACCCCTTTATTGCATTCTCCCACACACATGCCATGCAAAGAGCTGTATAAGCTTGGCATTAGTTGAGGCTTTGCGAGGGATCATAGGTATCCCCAGCCTGTGTCAGTTTCAGCCACAGCAAGACATTTGGGGTGGATCTGGCAGCACACAGTTCTGGTATTACTTCAAGAAAATGCTCCAGTAGCCTGGAGTTTTGGTCTCAGCAGTGTGCAGGGCCAAAGCTAGATGAGGAATTGACAGTAAAGCCGCAATAGTCCCTGAGCTCAGGAAATTGGTGGACTCTGCTGGGCAGTGCTGGACAGGCTGAACGTTAAGTCCTAGACACGTGTGATCATTTGTTTCTGCCTGGGGTGAGGGATGGTCCAGGTATCCTGCAGGGGAACGTGGCGGACTGTGGTAGAAAGACTGGCCACAGCCGGGCTCAGTGGCTCAGCCTGTAATCCCGCGCCTTTGGGAGGCTGAGGTGAGT